TTTCATATTTTGTTTTCATCCATTTATTTTACCTATTCTTTTTCTACATAATTGGAAATAAAACAAATCACAAAATCGAATGAGAGGTATAGACATTATAATAATATCATTATCACAATGAATTGAATTTAATTCTATGAAAATAAGTAACTAAAAACAAGAAATGAACAACATATTTGTATTATCTTGAAAGAATATCAATAACAAATTATATGTAATAGATAAAAAGAATAAAACTAATCTATTATTTGATATGAATATTGTTGCATATCATAATATTAATAGAGTATATTTGAATAAAAGAAATAAGTATAAGGAATTGAAAAATAAGCTAATTAAAATAGAGAAATTAAAGGATTTCAAAATAATTGGAGTAGTAATTCAATAAATTAATTAGTAAATGCAGAAAGTATTAAATTAATTAAGAATTAAAAGATTGAAATTGATATTACAAAAGAAGTTAAAAACTTTATAATAAAAAATATGATAGATGTTATGGAACATTGCTTCTACAACAACCAAACATATTCTGTAGAGTTACTAGAAAACGACCTATGTACAGGATTAATCTACTGAGCAATTAACAATAGCAACTATCTAATAATGCTTTATTAATTGCTTTTTATTGAACTATTTAGTTTTTATAAAAATAAAATACAAACTTTTAATTATTGAGACAAATACCAATTAAAAAAATACAAATATTTATTTTTAATAAATCAAATCATATTTTCCTAGCTTTCTGTGTTAAGTCACAAAATAAAACAAAGATTTTTGAAATATGAGGGAGGAAGTTGGATAAAGAACAGTTGGGTACATTCAATTTTTAGTAATTTATTCAAAAAATAATGGAACTGCACAAAAAGGGTTGTAATCAAATATGCCCAAAACTTGTTAGTAAATTTCTTGTTGAAAGATTAAGCTGTGGCAATACAATTCAAATTTACTGAAAGAAGAGTTAGCAAAGAGTTAAATTGTTTTCAAAGATCGGAAATGACAAAAATTACGAACACAAAAGCAAACAATAGTTTTGCGTTAAACGGTATCTCTATGTCTTCATTAATAAAAAGATTCAGTTGACTATGCTAAATAAAATGGGTAAGTGTTAAAGTGAATAGAAGATAATATTAAGTACATTATTTTTCATGCTTGGTCAACTACATCCTGTTTCAATTTAAAGAAGATAAATGATTCTTTTTATCATAGTTCTTTTTTTGTTGTGTTGGATGTCTGACTGGTT